GGAAAGGAGATTGGTCAAGCAAGCCCTACCCACAACAAGCCCATCCTGGCTGTCCCTCAGGGTGTTGCCATCGGCCAGTCCATTAAGAATGGCCTCCTTGATGATTTTTTCTAAGACCTTCCCCAGGATAGAGGTCAGGCTGATGGGCCTTGTAGTTTGCCGGATCCATTTTCCTCATTTTCTTGAAGATAGGCACCACACTGGCTTCCTTCCAATCATCGGGCACTTCACCAGAGCACCAGAAGCTCTTGAAGATCTGTGCCAGGGGCTGAGCTATGATGCTAGCTAGCTCCTTGAGTACTCTGGGGTGTAAATTGTCAGGGCCGGCTGACCTGAAGGTATCCAGCCTCTCAAGCTGTTCCTTCACAAGGTCAGCATTGATGGTCATTCCACTAATCAGAATAACCTATTCTATGGCAATTTTGCTATCTACTAAGGCTTCCTATTTCACAGGTCCTGCAGCTTTTTCCCCCATGCCCCACACTAGGGATGTTCATTTTAATTTTCACCAGCCAGCCAGGACCAGCCTCCAAAATCTGGGACTGTCCCAGGCAAACCGGGGTCATTCTACTTTTAGGTCAATTAAGGGCATTTTTCCAATGCCTGGGAGTCTCCAACATAGTTCCCACTGATCAGAGACCGGGTTGCCCTGCTCTGAGATGTCCATGTCAGGGAATGCCAAAGCCAACACCTGTCATACCTACACAAACTCTCACCTCTGCCGCTTCAGCTCAGCCTCCTCAGTCCTCCTCTGTGTCTCCCTGGCATCGGCAGCCACCTGGATGTTCGTTACCAGCTGCATGCCATCAAGGAGCAGCTTTGCCAGCCTCTGCAAGGACAGGAAAGGGACATAACAACCATGAGGCCAAATGGACTGAACTACATGCTTTGGAAGGCTCCATGGCCAGCGCTTCCACATCTGCCTGCCCTACAGGCTGGTTCCTATGCTTATATTGAGGTGCTTAAATAAAAGTGTGAATCTGGGATGTCACCTGGCAGGGATTCACACACCCAACCATTGTTTATCATCATGACATCACACTGGTTTATTTTCAGGAAAAGACTGAACACACCCAAACCACATGCAGCTCTTGCAGTACAGCTCCACTCTCAGCTCTCTCTTGCAGGCTCTAGCTTCACCATTCCTTTGCTGTGAGGTCAGGACACAGCATGGTCTGATCTGTACTTGAAAGCTCAAGATATTGCATGTTGGCTCCCTGTTTGCACAGCTGGAAACAGGAGGAAGTCAAGGAAGTTCAGGAAGTCAAGTAGGTTAGAAAATATCACATGTTTTAGAACAGAAGTCGGCAATCTATAGCCTTCAGGGCAGATCCAGACTGCAAAGAGGCCTGGTCTGGCCCACGGATATCTTCTGTAGCACAGAAGCTTGTTACAATGAAATTCCCTATAAAGTATTTCAAGAATCAGTCTCCGGTGGTCATAGCAAGTACCTGTGTGCAACCGTGCTCCTTCAGAACATATCCACTGGCTGACCCTGAGCTGTCAGGCTATGTTAACAGGACTGCAAAGCCACACGTACATGGAGCAATGGTCCTTAATGGACTTGTCAACCCCATTTCCCTGGCCGCAAAGCCTACTCCTAACCTGTCTGCTCTCTTCAATCTGCTTATGGCTCCTGCTCTGCTCCTCTTCTTCAGCCTTCTTTGCATCTGGGTCTTCTCCCAGGGCCTCCCTGGTGGGGGGTAGAGACATAAGCTTTAATAACACATCATCTCCTTGTCCCTGCCAGATCTCTTATTGAGTCACCTTGCCTCCTGTAAGCCCATGAGTCCACAAGATTGAAGCATCTCAGTATGTGGGTGGGAGACCAACCCAAGGGGGTCTCGGGACGGGGGGGAGGGTTACAGAATACACCCGTGTCTGGTTGGAGTCTCCAACCAAGGAAGCCCGCGTGGATTGTTCTGCGGACGGCTCCCCAGCTTGTCCGCAGCGACACCTGCTCCTTCGACCCCATGCAGGAAAGAAGGTTGGTCTTGTGCAGGCCGGTCTGCTGGGACACCCGCACTGCCTGTTTTCAGGACTGCTGATCTTAAAGACTGTCAGCACTCTCACAACACTCCCACCCCTGGGCCAAGGCCCACCCAGCCTGGACCGCTGCCATCCAGCATGGACTGGGGCCCCGTTTGCCTTCTGGCACTGGGTCTTGGGGGCCCAAAGCAGTAGAGGTGGGGAGGGGGCAGCGCAGCAGGGGAGCCCTGGCACCAGCCCCCCGCCCATAGCACTGGCGGGTGCTGCGGCGGGAGGGGCCAGGTCTCGGCGGGGGGGGGC